ACTGTTCATCTTCAAAGGCAGTCAGGACAGGAACTCAAACAGGTAGGAACCTGGAGGCAAGAGCTGATGCAGAGGCCATGGGAGGATAATGGTAGGATTTGTTGGGGGAGGCCACTATTTCATTTCCTGTCTGCCCTGACATGAAATAATCACTTAGAAACTATATCATTTGCAATACTGTTTGGCCAATACTTAATCATATTGCTAGCTAGCTCTTATATCCTAAATTAACCCATCTCCGTTCATCTGTGCATCACCACGAGGTCGTGTCCTACCGACAAAGTTTTGGCAGGCTCCAAACATCTGCCTCCAGTGGCAAATACATGGCTTCTCATTGACTCTGCTTTCTTTCTCTATATGTCTCTTCTAGCCTGGCTTTACTCTGTTAAGCCATTGACTGAAATCAGCTTCTTTATTAATGGCAATAAAGCACATTCACAGCATACATTACCTCCCACATCAGAGGGTGCTGCTTACTGACTTGCTCCTCATGGCTTCTTCAGCTTGCTTCCTAACAGAACCCAGGGCCACTAGACCAGGAACAGCACCACCAACAATGGGCTGAACCCTCCCCTGTCAAGCGCTAATTAAGAAAATGCCCTATGAGCTTGCCTACAGCCTGATCTAATAAGGAGGGGCCTTCTTAATTGAGGCTCCCTCTTCTCAAATATTTTAACTTCTGTCAAGGTAATGTAAAACTACCCAGTACAGTGTAGTGACTGGGAATCAAACCCAGGTTCTCTAGAAGAGTAGTCAGTGCTCTCAATTGCTGAATCACCTTCTCTAACCCCTTTGTGCTTTGTTTTTTTAAGACTGCTGAGCTGTCCTTCGAGATGCCCTACGTGGCTGCACCCTGTCTCATCTGTGTCAGTGATGAGGGGGCAGGACCATCTATCCTCTGTGGTTTAAAGACTCAGTGTTTTGTGTCTGAGTCTCTGAGTGCCTGCAGCCTGACCCCTGCAGCGCCCCGTTGAGGTGGGAGTGTACTTCTTTCACGTGTCACTCAGCATCTGTCCCTTCTCTTTGTTAAGGTTTCTGTTCAGGTATCTCACCCACTTTGAGGGTAATTTATCAAGTTTACAAGTTCTCTTTGCAGATTGGATAGCTGCAGCATGTATATTTGTGTTTGACTTTGGAAATATTTTCTCTAAGTCTATGAGTAACAGTGATTTTTACAGAGCTATTAAGTCCCTAACCCTAAGTAAGAGCCTTGAGAGGTTTTTATTTTAACTTTAAAAGTTTTATTTATGTGTATGTGTGTTAGTATGTGTGTATGGGAGGAGTGCCCGGAGAGACCAACAGAATGCATGGGACCTCCTGGAACAGAGTTACAGGTAGTTGTGAGTTACCTGATATGGCTGCTAGGAACCAAATTCCGGATATGCTCTTAATCGCAGAGCCATCTCTCTGGCCCTCAGGTGTTTGTTGTTGCTGCTGCTGCTGTTCATTTTTTAAAATAAGCCTTTCTTAGACTAGCTTTGGCTTAGGGAGTGTCTGCAGACCGCTCACCCACTGCTAACATCTGAAATCAGGGTGGCTTATTTTGCCACCATTGAACTCTTTTCTCCATGGGAGTGTTACAAAGCCCATGGCATCATTCTGATTTCCTCAGTTTCCTGAAATGTTTTCTTCCTGTCTGGGTACGTCAGAGGGCCTGCGCCATCTTTACTTGTCGTGTCTCTGTAGGCCGCGTGGCTTCGGCAGTTGCTTGGGCTTGTTCTCTTGGTAGTGGACTTGACAGCCTTGAGAACTGGCTGCTGTTTTTTCAGGTGCTCCTCCCTGCACATTTGTCGAGGATTTTCTTCTCGACTGGACCCAGATCTCATAAACATGAATGAGTGTGGGGCTGGGGAGGAGCATGAAGGAGGTGAAGCATCTATCTTCCTTTTATAGAGGGCTCCTACCGTCAGCCTGCCTGATTTCTGGGGTGCTGACTTAGACCTTCTAGCATGGCCCTGTATGCGGCCTTTCTTCCTGAGAGTCACCAGCTGAGCCCATCCCATACAGGGCCTTTGGGAAGGGGCTCAGTTGGCACAGCCCACTGATAAGGAGCGGGGAGAGAGTTATGTCCTGCCTCCTAAAGGGCACAGTGGAGATTTGGTGTCTGTCTGTGAAATTGTTCCTCCTGCTGCCGTTTATTGCTTAGTCAATCTCTATGTGGGTTTTGCTTGGTGCACGTGTCCCTCCATATCTATGAGGGATGGGCTGTAGGATTCCTCAGGTTTGAGCTCTAGGGATGCTCTAGTCACACAGAACCCGTGCACATCCTCTGGCAGCCTGTGTCATCTCTAGATTGTTTATAAAACCTGATTCATGGACGCTGTGAAAACCACTCTCACACTGTGTTATTTCTTGGTTATATTTTATTGTTGTTATTTTCAATCTGTGCATTGCATTAACTTCCCTTGCAAAGACATGGATGAACTTCTGTTTGCTCTGGGTAGAGCAGAACAAAGAAACAAGTCCAAGACTAGCCCAGACCAATGATTTAGTCAGGCTTAGCTATAGGGCCACAGTGAGGGGACACTCACAGGAGCGTAGGTGACAGGACATTCACAGGAGCGTAGGTGAGGGACAGTCATTGTAGTCTGGGTGAGAGGTCACTCAAGGAGCCTTGGTGAAGGGTTACTTATAGGAGTGAGGGTGACCCTAAAACAGTTGTATTACTGCAAAGTTCCACCCCCCACATGGGCAACATCACCTTATCTGCATGGATAGAGGCCCCTTCATTAACTTTCAATTTGTATTCTCTAGCACAGCGGTTCTCACCCTTCCTGACACTGCAACCCTTTAATACACTTCCTCATGTCGTGGTGCCCCCAACCATAGGATTATTCTTGCTACTACTTCACAGCTAATTCTGCTGCTGTTTTGAACTTCAGTGCCAATATCTGTGTTTCCAGTGGTCTTAGATGACCCCTGGGAACGGGGTCTTGGCCCACAGGTTGAGAACCACTGCTCTAGTACCTTGGAAGAGATCATATGTAGCTGCTTTACATATGCCTGGGAGGGAAAGCCAGGTGGGAACAGCTGGATCTCACATCTGGATCTGATGACCCTCCCTTTCCCTAATCCTATGGGAGAATGTCCACTAGCCTGACCTTGGGGGTCTCTTGTCAACATCAGCACCAGCTGCTCTGATGATGATGGTGACAGCTGATATTGAGAGGCAAGTGCTTCCTGATGCTGGGGTTGGCTGCGTTCACAGGGGAGCAGCTGGCTGACACTGTGGCCTCTGAGTTCAAACTTGAAAGCTGTTCCCCGTGTCTTATTTATTCTGCATCTTACATTCGACTTTTAGAATAGCTCAGGTCAGCCTGTGCACCCCACGTTCAGTCACCACATTGTGATACATGCTTCATTCCTCTCTGTTAGATTTTCCATCCTGGGACCCCCTCAGCCTCCTAAATCATTGTTTCAAGAACCCTGCTAGTGGTCACCCAACCCTTAAGAGGAGGACTGGTTTTCACTACCATAGTTGTTGCCTGACATAGGAGGAGTCACCCCTCCAGATGCTTGATTTCTGGGACCTCTCCCATGACACACACGCACATGCACACACATACTCACGCATACGCATACACGTGCACACACACGCACACTTGCATGCACATGCACAAGACCCAAACGTGCAGACATCCCCCCACACATGTGCACACACACGCACTCACATGCACGTGCACAGACACACACATGCACATGCACGCATACACCCTCCAGCTGCCGCTTTGTATCCTGCACTCCCAGCAGCTGCTCTGAGCCCTTACATCTCCATCCTTGCCCTCTCTGGTGTCCTAGATCCCTGCAGTCAGGCCGGAGCTCTCAGCTGACCCGCCAGGGTCTTACCTCCTTCCCTTCCTGTTGATGCCTCTTGAAATACATCCTGGTTGTTTTCTGCCTACAACACTCCCAGGGTATTTCTAGGGTGATTGTGTATATAACTTTAAGGTCAAGTGATCCAAGTTTGGAGTACCAGCCATCTGCTTGGGTGTACATGTCAAAGTTGTAAAGTGTTTTAAAAATCTAGGAAATCTCAACACATGAAAAATGAGGAACATTTTCAAGACATTGTGTTGCAAACACCCGAGTGGGCCCAGCTTTTCCATAACCTGAGGCTCACTGTTCTGGCTGGACTGGCTGAGTAGTGAGCCCTTGGGATCCACTTGTCTCTGCTGGGGTGACAGACATGCTCACCTGCACCCTGCTTTTATTTGGGTGCTGGGCATTCAAACTCAGGTTCTTGTGATTGTATAGCAAGTACTCTTCCCATTGAGCTTCTTCCTCTGCCTTGATCTGGAGACTCAATAGCGGTGGTTCTCAACCTGTGGGTCGTGACCCCCCTTGGGGTCACATATCAGATATAACAGTATGAACATATCAGTTCATAACAGTAGCAAAATTACAGCTATGAAGTAGCAAATGAAATAATTTTATGGCTGGCGACACCACAGCATGAGGAGCTGTATGAAAGGGTCTCAGCATTAGGAAGGTTGAGAACCACTGCTCTAGAGTGTTGTCTCTCCGTGTCACAGGAACTTGTATGTTGTCCTGGTGCTCTGTGGCACCCAGAGGACTCCAGTCCTTATTTACATGGGAGCCTTGCAGCCTAGTTCCTGACAGCCACACATGGTCTGTGTGTGTCATGAATCAGAAAGACAAATGATGCTGGCCTAGCCATGTCTGAGTTCCTGTGAGGGATATGTAAAGACGGTGCCCAGGCTTCTGTCCTCAGTGAGCATGGCAGGGCTCTCCAGGGTTCATGGCACCAAGGCCTGCGCTGTGGAGACCCTGCTGCTACTGTTTGGATTTGCGTGTGATCCCACGTGCCCGTCATGGCCATGGGTTGTCTGAGTCCTCCAGACTGTGTGGACTCTCGGGGGCCGTAGGCTCACGGAAGGAGCTGCTCGTGTTTGAGGACCCTCGTGTGGCTGAGCACTCAGGGGGGCTTGGCCTCCTTCTCTGGGTGTTTGTTCTGAAGCCTTTGTGTTTGGTTCCCTCAGAGACGCCCCTGACCCTGGCTGCCCAGCTCAGTGACTCCATGGAGGTCATCAAAGTTCTCAGAAATGGGGGTGCACATTTGGACTTCCGTGCCAGGGATGGGATGACCGCCCTTCACAAGGCTGCCCGGATGAGGAACCAGGTTGCTCTGAAGGTATGTCATGAACCTGTCTTGTGTGGGCAACAGATTCCTTTACCTGGTTCCCCTGAGCTGTCTTTTCTCCCCAGGAACCATGTTCCCTGTGCCCACTTCTGTCCCCACTGGAGCTCAGAAGGACAGTTGAGTGTCAGGTGCTCCTGCCCCCTCTGTAATGTAGCTGCTTCTAGAACTCAGTGCCTTAAGCCAGCTTGTCCCCTCTACTCCACGGAAAGGCTCATGTTTCTAACAAATGAGTTGGTGCTAAACCTTATTGCTGTCCCTCAGAGGAGACCTCAACCCATGAGTAATACGACAGCCTTGATGTCCCCTGCATTGCATCTCCAGAGGCAGGCAGCTGTGGCCGGCCACATCTTCTCCTGAATTTTCACGTATGCTCTACACCCATCTTCCCCGTGGCTACCTCCCCACCCTGTTTTCCCACACCCCATGTTTCCTTCATGCCTGTCTTCCTTGCTGTCCATTTTCTCCACTCCATCTTCCCAATGCCCATCTTTTTGCCTCTGCCGGAGGCATTCACCCCGTCTTCCTTTCTTCCTTCCCCCCACATCTTTGCCCCTTGCCCTGTCTAGCAGAGCATGCAGCCTTGTCCAGAGAGAATGTGGCTCCAGCCTGCTTTCCACCAGAGCCCAGCGAGGAAGCCAAGTCCCCTGGCTGCAGACTGATCTGAGATGGAAGCTTTCCTCTCATTTCTTTGATCCTAACTTCACCTCAGCTCTGCCTTCCTACAGGCTTCTGAGAAGCCCACATCTTCCTGACCCTACTCCAGAGGCTCTCTACCCCTTGACTCACTGGGGTTCCACTGTCCTGTGTGTTATTCCAAATGCTGTGGCTCTCTTTAGTAAATGCAATCTTGATGGCTCTCCACAGCTGTCTCCTGGGATGCCGGGCTCTAGGCACCAGGAGGACCCTGTTGAGACATGGCAGTTACACACTGTCTCTCCTCCAGGTGCAGACCGTTCCCGCATCCCTGAGTATCACCTGTCACTTCCAGTCAGCAGTTAGGACTCTCCAGTTCTGTGTGTGTCAGGGGGAACATCAGGTATCCAGGCGCGATATGTCAGCTTGGTCCATGGGAACGTGATCCATGGGTGTCTTCAATTTGTTCCATGCATGAGACCAGTGATGACTTTCAACTCTATTCCTAGACCCTCCTGGAGCTCGGCGCCTCCCCAGACTACAAGGACAGCTATGGACTCACACCGTTGTATCACACGGCCATTGTGGGTGGTGACCCTTACTGCTGCGAGCTCCTTCTCCATGAGCATGCCTCTGTGTGCTGCAAGGACGAGAACGGCTGGCATGAGATCCACCAGGTATGGCTGTGCCTCTGCTCGCCAGAGCCACTGCTGAGCTCCCCTCCCTGCGATGCCAGACCCAGACCACAGAGCAACCGAGTGTCAGGCCCCTTCTGGTATCTTGGATGATCCACCCCAAGGTCCTGAAAAGTTTATATTAGTCATCAGCATTTATGTGCTGACACATTTATCTAGAGACGGCCATTTCCCACTTCCACGAGAAACTAGGTTTTCGTGTGAGGCTGCTGTGTGTCTACAGCAAGTCACCTAGAGTGGGGAAGGGGCTAAGAGTGTGCATCCCTCCTCATGGTCTATGAGCTCTTTAGGCCCTGATACCCTAGGAACGTGGCAAAGAAGGTTCCAGGTAACCCAGGACGAGGTCTGATTTCCTCGAGCAAGGCATGAGGTTTTCAGACATTACCTTGTAACCGTGAGGCTGAGCATGGGACAACTGTGACCTGTCACTGTGGGGCTAGAAGGTGTGACTCTCATGACCCTAGCAAGAAACAAAATCCACCTGATGGTTCTAGAAGGGCAGCCTCTCGTGAGCCAGGTGCAGGAAGAAATGGTCCAAGTTCTCTAAAGCTGGGGTTTATAGCCTGAACTCAAGGCTTTTTATCTGATTGGAGGAAGGGTCTGGGCAGGCAGGCAGGCAGGCAGGCAGGCAGGCAGGCTGGTCAAGGGAGGGAGCCTGGGATAGTCTCACTTGGTTTTGATTGGTTGTCTACCATGGTTCCTCCATCAGTCTGTTGATGCCTGTGCCACCTTTCACACTTGCCCCTCCTGGAAGGAGTGGTTGCATGCCCACCCAGAGCTGTTCAGGGCCTAGGGCTGCCGACTGTAGCAGAGAGGAAAGTGGGTCCTGCAGGACCTGCCCGCATCTGGCCTGTCTCCTGTGGATGTGGAGCCCCACATCCTGGAAAAGGTCCTGTGCCTTCATGGGTTGAGTGGAACTCTTTGATACTGCTGCTGGAACCTCAAGCCCACACTGGGTGGGGACCTCAGAGCAGCAAATATAATGACTGTCTTGTTCATGTGCCTGATATGAGACTGGCTGCTAGCCCTGTGCTTACTTTATGAAGGATGGACTCTCTCCATGACAGACGGCTGGGACGTGGTACCAGATGCTGATAGAATTGCTCTGGCAGTGTGCTATAAGATGGGATGGGGGTTAACCAGTAGATTTTAAGCATGGAGGCGACCCTCCACGTGAGCTGGAGACTGTTCATCAGCGCAGGCTCATTTGTGGGAAGTCTGAAGTACCTAGAAAAACCCAGCTCCACCCCAGATGCCGTTCCGGCTCCAGCTGCAGCACCAGCCCCCCACCAAGCTTCCACCTTCCCTGCAGACCTCACCGACTGCCCCGTCACTATGGAAACCAACTCTATAAAACATGATTTCAGGTATTTAAATTCTCTCTGTGTTCCTCCATATATACATTTCCAAGTACAATTATCTCTCAGGAACGTCAGGGGTCACATCCCAGGATTTCCGAGATGCCCCAAACCCTTCTGTGACACAGTGTGGCATTTACACATAACATACACATCCCTCCAAGCATGTTCAGCCGTCTCAAGGTGATTCTTGATATTTTCAGTTTTGGTCTTCCTGAGACAAGGTTTCAATCCCTGGCCTAAGGTATCCTGGAACTCACTGCATAGTTCAAGCTGTCCTCGAACTTTAGGCAATCCTCCTGCCTCGGTTTCCCAGGGCTAGGATTACAGGCATGATTTATAATAACCTGGATGATGTGAGTTCTCTGAGAACAGTGGTTCTACCATGTTTAGGGACAAGAAGAGAAGGAAGTGCATGTATGTTTTATACATATGCTAATTTTCCTCAAGTATTTCTATCCATGGCCAGAGAATCCATAGGTGACAGAGCTCACAGATATGGAGAACAGACTGTGTACATACATGTGCACCCTAGTAGTTCGGTCTCTTAGGAGAACCCTGACTTTTACAGCCCTGAGAAGTAGTGTAGGCACTTGTCCACCTGCTCCCCCCTTTCCTCTCAATTCCTACTGCTTCTCCTCTATTCCCTGGGCTAGGGTGATGGGCAGCCTTAAGCTGGGTGCTCAGTCTCGTCCCTCTTGAGCCCTTCCGCAGTGCTGGGCAAGGCTGGCGGTAGCTTCCCGCCCAGCTGTCTCCCTGGACTGGCCCCCACCCGTGCACGTTGCCTGCTTGTTTGTCTCTACAGTACTGCGGGAGCCTCGTGGGGCTCCTGGCTTGCCCTCCCTCACCACTGACTGGGGATTCCATTGCACCTCAGGTGCCTGCCCACCTATTGTTCACACAGCCATGAATGTTTCTGGCAGAGCATCCGTGACTCCTGTCACCCACTCAGTGTCCTGACGCCTGGATCCAGGTGTGAACAGAGACTCCCTGATACATGAGGGAAGCTGGCCAGGACAGACATATTTTAAAAGTCACATAACTAAACACGTGCACACATGCCCCACTCCCACGCACGCGTGTGCACATGTAGGGTATAGGGATGTGTACTCTGTGTCCCCATGTGATAGTACTTCCCGGTCTCGTACCATCACCAGCAGGCACTTGTGTCCTGGAGCAGGGGATGGGTGGCAGTGGCACCTCTGCCTAGCACACTTACGGCGTCTTTACCATCTCCTCCCTGCTTCTCCCACCCTTTGTCCAGCCTTCTTGCCCCTCCCCCCACCAGGTCAGCCACTCTTCACAGTCCAGTGACATCACACTTACATGCCTGGCCTTTCATTTATACCATGTGACTCTGGACAGCCCTTGGCTGTGGGCCCCTGACCGTTGCTGGTTTCTGGGCCCCGCAGATGGCAAGTTCCATCCTGGGTCTGGATCGAGAGTTTTGTTGTTTTATTACCACCCAGACTTTTCAGTACTTCAGTCCCTCAACCCCCATACCGTGGTGCTCTTGAATCCTGCCTGAATCCTATTACCTTTTCTCAGCTCAGCTCCAGGGTTTGGACTGCCCCCTAGTGGTCAGTTTCTGAGTAGCCTGGGAAAGCTATGTTCTATGGAAGAACCAGAATTGACATTTCTACCTGGCTTTTTTGTCTCTTTTAACTGTAGGCTGCTGTGTCTGTTAAACAGGGTGACAACTGACTGACCCTGTGCAGACATGGCAGGAGTAGGAGACAGAGCCAACACCTCCTAGGTTATGCTCCTAGCCACAGTTCACACTTACCCAGCCAAACGCTGCCCTAGCCACAGTTCACACTTACCCAGCCAAATGCTGCCCTAGCCACAGTTCACACTTAACCAGCCAAACACTGCTCTAGCCACAGTTCACACTTACCCAGCCAAACTTGCCTTCTTTGTATATCCTCAAGGCAACTCCAGAAAACTGCTTCCTGTTCCTATCAACATGTGAATTAGCAGGCTCAGAGAGGGTTAGTAACTTGGCTAAGGTCACAGAGCAAGCAGTTGGCTGAACTAAGTACATCCCTGCCTTGCCTTATTCCGCTAGCTTCTCCATCTCCCTTTCAGACCTCTCGAGCAGAAACCATTCTGAATACAACAGTGTTTGGGAGGAAGAAAGTGCACAGGGCGGGTGGGTTTTGTCGGGATCTACCTGGACTAATTCTGGACCTCATGAAGAAGCCCAGAGCGCCAGGTTTCTGGGCTCAGGATTTGAAGCTGGTTCCTCTGTGAGTAGCACCACTGTCAATTGCAGCATCCTGGCGTGTAGACATCTGCTTTCTCCTGCTGGCCCTGGAGCCACCTCCTGGTGCACACATGGCAAGTGCCTGGCCAGCTCCCTGGGGGTCTGAGCATCTCTCGTCTGTCTGTTCCGAAGCCAGTGCCTTATGCCTGAAATGGCTAGAGCTCTTGTTCAAATCACATCTGCAAACACCTTTTCAAAAACATTTGTTTTATTTAAATTTTAAATACACATACACTCTACACACACACACCACACCCTACACACACTCCACATACACACACCACACACCACACTCACCACTTCACACACTCCACACACACACACACACACACACACCCTCATTAAAGAAACTAAACCAAATCCATTCCTACTGCTCATGGGTGTCAGGTGGGACCTGAGAGTTTTCAGTTCTTTTTTTCCCCACTCCCTCCCTCAGTACAGGTACAGCCACCGTGCAGCCTGCAGTGTGCAGGGTCCAATCCAGGCAAGATGGTCAGGGAGAAGACAGGTGCTCAGCCAAGAGGCCAGCTCCTAATGGCTCTTTCCAACTCCCGCTTACTCGCATACCCTATGAGTGTGTCCGCACCATGAGTGTGGGATCCTCTCCTCATACTGTCCCTGGAGTGAGTTTTGCTCAGTGTGGGCAGCCGGGAATAGAAACTCATGCTTCCTAGGTGGCCTGGGCAGGGGCTCTGTGTCCTCAGAAAGTCACAGAACTCTTAAGGCAGCCAAATGCAAGAGACTCCATGAGACATTTTCTACAATGCCTGTATGCCATTAGTGAGGTACCCATACATGTTACCCTCCCCACATGACCTCATGTGGATGTCCTCTGTGTGTCTGTGTCTTGGCCAGCTCCCCCCTTTTTAGATTTACATATTGTATTTTATGTGTATCAGTGTTTTGCCTGCATGTTTTATGTGTATGTATGTGTGTATATGTATATGTGTGTATGTGTATGCATGCATATGTGTGCATATGTGTATGTGTGTATTATGTATGTGTGTATGTATGTGCATCATGTGCATGCACTGCCTGTGGAGGCCAGAAGTGGGTCAGAAGTGAGTGTTGGTGCTAGGTCCCCTGGAACTAGAGTTACTGATGCTTGTGAGCCACTATGTTAATGTTAGGAACCAAACCCTGGTCCTCTGGAGGAGCAGCCAATGCTCTTAATCACTGAGGCATCTGGCCCCATTGGCCAGTCTTTGAAGGATTTCTGGTTGTGGCATAGGGCCCACACTAGTAGCCTCATTCTTTCTTATTACCTTCCTTAGAGACCCATCTCTAAACCCTGGCTAGGACTCTGCTGGTCACTGTTCAGCCCCTACTGCTGTGTCAGCGTGGAGATTTATCACAAA